TCTCTTGTTCATCATACGGAATGTAATAATCGTCCTCATCATCGGTTCTCATGTCGTTATTTATAAAATCTGCAACATCTTCAGTTGAACTGTCAATTTGCAAGGTTTTTGGAGAGAAAGGTAGATTGCATGAAATTTCTGGTTTTTAGGGTTCCGTACTCGGTTCGGAACCCTATTAATATCGGTTTTTTTGAATCGTGTACCCCCCCCTAGCGGCCACACAAATTTATCTGGAGGGCTGAAAATTAGTACACATATGTATTTTCGGGTGTAGATTACAGGAAAAATATAGCGAACTTGATTAGAATTAATTAACATAGCGTTGTCAAGGAAAAACCATGAATTTTTACGAAAAATGCCTAAAAATGACTATGTAACCCCCCCCCCTAGCGGCCACATTTTTTGACATAAAGAGCTCAAATTTGGTACACTTACGTATTTTTACGTGAAAATTACAGGAAAAATATAGCGAACTTGATTCCGATCAATTTACATAGCGCTGTCAAGGAAAAATCAAAAATTTCGAAAAAAAATGATTTTTCTCCCTAGCGCACACAATATTCTACCCAGACAGTTCATATTTAGTATACAAATGTATTTTTACGGGAAAAATACAGGGGAAAAAAAGCGGTCACGATTAGAGTTGATGATTAACTTTTTATCAAATTTTTCAAGAAAAAATGACAATTTTAGGAAAAAAATGTATTTTTCCACGAAAAACGAACAAAATTTTATTTAAAGGAAATTAAATTAAATCAATTTACATAGCGTTGTCAAGGAAAAATCAAAAATTTAGAAAAAAATGATTTATTCTCCCTAGCGCACACAATATTCAACCCAAATTGTTCACATTTGCTGTAAAACTGTATTTTTGCGTGAAAAATACAGGGAAAAAATGTAAGCGCGATTGGAGTTGATGATCAATTTTTATCAAATTTTTGAAGAAAAATGATAAATTTAATAAAAAAAATGTATTTTTCCGCAAAAAACGAAAAAAATCGGACAAGTGCGAGTTACACTCGCACTGAAATCGAGGGTTCCGTACTCGAAGCGAACTTATTTGGTATAAAAACAAATGTTTAAAAAATATGTGTTGTGTATTAAATAATATATGCGATACAAAAATGAACAATTTAAAAAAAAAATTAAGAAAATTGTTCCTCCTTTGGTATAAAAACAAAAAAAAATTTTAAATTTGTTTTGTATTTCAAATAATATAAGTGATACAAAAAGGAACAATTTTGTAAAATTTAAGAAAATTGTTCTTCTTCGTATCACTTATATTATTTGAAATACAAAACAAATTTAAAATTTTTTTTTGTTTTTATACCAAAGGAGGAACAATTTTCTTAAATTTTTTTTAAAAAATTGTTCATTTTTGTATCGCATATATTATTTAATACACAACACATATTTTTTAAACATTTGTTTTTATACCAAATAAGTTCGCTTCGAGTACGGAACCCTCGATTTCAGTGCGAGTGTAACTCGCACTTGTCCGATTTTTATAGTTGGGACGTTGGCATACAATATGTTCTTTTTATTTTTGTTATTATATCCTTGTACATTGTTATTGCCAAAATAACAATCTTTTTGATTTAATGGTTTCACCACAAAGTTGGCTTTATAAACTTTAGTTTATCCTCTTAAGTATGATTCCAACGAATTAACATTGTGTAACAGGAACTGCAAATTTTGTGTGGAACCCAATTTTTGTCCTGATTGGCTATCTCAAGATGAAAACAATCTTTGTAGATCTGTTTGATATTTTCATTAATTGATTTTCGATTTTTGGGGACATCGAATTGTCATCGAATATGTAACAAAATGCATTTGCATTGCGGTCGCATAAGTGTTCCGACGTTGTTAATGCAAAATTAACTTTTAAAGCCTTTGGAGTTTTATTATTGTTATGATTTATGTAAAAACCTTCACGTTAGGGATCCTGGCATTATCGCAGGTGAGTCCGCAGTCCTAGGGGTGATAACCCTCATACCTCTCCAGGCCTAAGTATGAGAGCTTTCCGACTTACTATGCGTTTCAAAAATCCTTGCCCTTCGTAAAAAACAGGGATAAAACGTTGAAAAAAAATCGCTATAAAACGAGACAAAGATTATTGGATAGATAATTTAATACTACATAAACTTCTCATTCATGACACCTTAGTAAAAAATTTTTTAAAAAAGTTACAGGTGCAAATATGTAGAAAAACAGGGTATTTTGAGTGATTTGCTTATGGGTCAACTTTCACTCATCAGATTTCATAGAAAAAATTATAGAACAAATTTGAAAAAAATCACTGACATGCGCTAATAATTAATTTAAAAATATGTGCAATTTGTTTTTAAAAAACAGATAAACAATTACCTACACAACCGATTGTATGGATAATTGCAATCTCAGCTCCAAATTGCGTTAAAAACTTCTAATAAAATTGAGTATATCAGAAAAAAATTCTTAATTCTGAATCTAAAAAAATTTTTATTTTACAAATGTAATATTCCGTTTTATTTACCATTTTTTACTTCAAAATTTTTTTTTCCTTTCGATACAAAGAAAGTAATGATCATCAGTAACGGCCTTGAGCATCCGGAAGGATTGCTACTCGGCGCATCCCTTTTTTATTGCTTGGCACCTGACAATAGGAAAAATGTCATAGTCGTAAGAATCCCGAAATTATATTTCCTACGAGTAAAATTTTTAACTTTCAACAGCTATAACAGTTTCGTTTAATAATAATAATAATAATAATAATAATAATAATAATAATAATAATAATAATAATAATAATATTAATAATAATAATAATAATAATCTTTTAAAACATATATATTTAAATATTTTTAATCATAAATTTTTATTAAATAATTAAATTATTATTAAAATTATTTTAACACTAAAAAAGTATTGAATGTTATTGCATATAATAATCTTATATAAGAGTCCGTATCATTTTCACGCAAAACTTTTTTGAGCGGTTGTTATTTTGTTTATCTCCAGATTTTCTTATTTTGTTTACCTGCTAAAAAGACAAAATTTAATGAGTATTGTTCTTGTTTTTTAATTTTAATAATGAATTAAAAGTTTTTTTATTATTTAAATTAAAAAACAGGAACAATACAATTTAATTTTTGTCGAGGGGGAATTTACTCAGGTAGTCAAGTGTACACTCTTCCTGTAATACTTGTGTAATAACGTGTAATACCGTGTAATAATGCGTTATTACAGTGCTGTAATAACGCAAAAATCTCTGTAATATCTCTGTAATAATGTGTAATACTCTGTAATAACCTGTAATACTTAGTAATAAGGGTAATATGAGGTGTAATACCGGTAGTCAAGTGTACACGTTTTTTACTAGTAAATTCCCCCTCGATTTTTGTCGTTTTCAAAGGTGAACAAAATAACAAAATCTCGAGATGAACAAAATAACAACCGATCAGGTAAAATTTGTGTGAAAATGATACGGATTCTTATATAATACAAAGAGTTAATAGTATTTAAACTAGTAAATAATTTAATTAAATTTCAAAGTAAAAACGACACATTAGGACAAAAAGTTGTTTTTTTATTTTTTAAAAAAGTCCAATGTTTCGAGTTAAATCATAAACTCCTCTTCATGGACTACAAAAATACGTAGATACAATTATTAATAAAATAATTATGAATAACCGTAGTAGAAAGTAATAAAAAAAATGAAAAAAAATGAACTATATAAATATACATTGCAAAAAGAAGTATCTTATTTAAAGATGTTTTGGTAGCGTTTACAAGAAACCAAGACATCTGAAACATCTTAGTGTCTTGAAAATGCTACCAAAAACATCTTAGAATAAGATACTTCTTTTTGCAGTGTAATAACAATTTTTGATATTTTTTTGTCGATTTTAAACCAAAATTTTTTATTCATAGTTTATTTTTTCTGTTATATAAAATACAATTTTTCTCAATACTTTTCAATTCTTTGTTTAAAATCAAAAATATTTCTGTCCATTTTCTAAAATCGACATTGCTAGACACCCTGATTATAATTACAAATATAATTATAATAAAATTTAGTTCTGCTAAAATTAAATTATTTATAAATTGTATGTGAAATGTTATTTATAAAAATAGTCTACTAAATTTCAGTCTTCAAATTTTCCTCCTATTATTCGTAATTTCGGTTTTTTAAATTTGTAAATGTAATAAATTTCTACAAAATAAACCACACAGAAAATTTACAGTTGAATACTATAGTGTTAACATTGTTTAACATAATTAATTTCCTAAAAATTATACATTAACAAAAAAGATTAAATATTTAAGTTACGAAAACTTACGTACTTCACAGAAAATAATTTCTAATTTCAAAATATATACACAATTTCAAATTTAATAAATTACGACTTACAAATACTGACAAATGTTACAGGCATGAAAAATTCCATACTGCAGTTGTTTGTTGGTTTCACGTTTGATTATGACATCCTATATTTATGAGGTGTAAAAAATTCTTTCTCCCACCAAAAAATATAACACCATCTGCAATAAAAATTTTTAATATTTTAATACAGTTAAAACCGTGTAAGCTTGCTTGACAACTTTTTTGCAAGTAACAAAAGTGTTCTCTTTTTGTAAGCATAGATAAATAATTTACTTTAATGCTGCAAGATTTCAGCAGCAAGATTGCAGTGCAATATTGCCAACAGTGGGACATTTCAAACTTGCGGCAAGCTTGCAACAGTTTTGCATTGCAAACTTGAAAAACTTGCAAAGCGAGCTTGCTGCAAGCTTACGTGAAATTTGGGTGAGAGTAAAAAGAAATCAAGTCACAAAAAAATTAAATTAAATATTAAACTTGCTCGGCATTCTTGCAGTAAGCTAACTGCAAACTTACAATAAATTTGATGCAATCTTGCTGCAAGTTTGCCGAGTAAGATTGGTGATTGGGACACATATTTCTAAAGCAATCCATATCTGTAGATTAAAACAGAAAAGTAACAAAATAAAGCACTTACTTCTTTTATTTTTCAAACGCCTTCAAATTCTGCAGATACTAAAACATCGTCTTCGATATCAAATTCTTCGTCATCGGTATCACTGTCTTCTGCTCCCACATTTATTATCAAGGGACTTATAAACCGGTCTACGTCATTGTGCTGTCCTCGATATTGATCCTCAATTTCTCTAGCGTGTCGGACACAGTTTGGCCACAATGATGATGGAACTGTGTTCATGTGCTCCTTACATAGCTCCAAAACATCATTAATTTTGAATGTTTTATTATTAGTTGCCACCTGTCTCTTAACATGTGCCCAGATGAGTTCAATGGGGTTTAGCTCACAATGAGCTACTGGCATCCACAACAATTTTACATCATTACCCCTCAATTCCTTTGTTATCGTTTCAAGGAGATAAATCTTCGGATATCGATGCTCCTGTGATAATTTGTACAATTCATCTCTTTTCATTTTATTGAACGCCTCGTCGAATCAACCAGTCGATGATGCTTTGTTTTTTCCATTTTGTGGTGACATTACGAAATTCGGGATCAATCATGGTGTGATAAGGGGCCTGATCAAGCACTATAACCGAATCCTTTGGCACCTTTGCCAACAGATTTCTAAACCATTCCTCGAAATGTTTAGCATTCATCTCTTGATGATAATCTGATGACCCTTTCTGTCCTATAAATAAGAACAATACTTTATAACGGAAATGTCAAATGTGCTGTGAAAATTTAATTTTTATTCAAAGAAAAATGCGTTATGCGTAAAAAAATATAAAAAATGGCAAATTAATGCTTTACTTAAAAAGAAGTTTTTTAATTTGTAAATAGTCTTATTGTTATATTAAATGGTACGTTAAAAATTGCACAATATACAGGTCCTTACCTATAAAGCAATTCATGCATCCATCGACAAAGCCATTTTCGTTTCCGACATGCAAGATGATAACTCTCTTTCCTGCACCGCAAGGAGTTACGAAACCACCTCGATAGCCATCTATTTGCTGCACACCGAAACGATATTCATCAAAATTATCCCGTCGATTTTCAGTCACATGTTCCATCCACCCCGTCTGAAGTGTGTGATTGGCACCACACCAAGTTTCGTCTAAGAAATAAATAGACCAATTTGAATCCCTATAAGATTTAATGGATCTTAAATATTCCATTCGAATGTTTGCCACAGTAGAACTTTCCATTAACACAGGCTTTTTCTTCAATTTTCCGTAAACAAAATTATGATGTTTTAAAGTTCTCCACAATGTTGTTCTCGAAATGTTACATCCTGGAACATCCTGTTGTAAAGCGGCGAGGAGAATATTCAGGGTTGGAAATGTCTTTTTCATATAAAAATCAAAAATTTTTCTCCGAATCACTCCAAAAAAAAATTATCCACAACAAGGGAAGGTCTCCCACTCTTTTGATGGGGTTTTTGCAACTCTCCTTTTGCTGCTTCCCTTGAAACGTTTTTTACAGTGCCTTCTGAAATATCCAAAGCTTCTGCAGTTTTCCGGCAAATGTTAGCATTGTTTTTTAAAGTTTGTTTTTCGATTTCGAAAAAAGTTTTTACTCGCAAAACCATTCTTTTTTCTTCTAAGGTTAAAGCTTTCTTTTTTTTGGGTTCACTTCGCGATTGAAAAATTTTTTTAATAGTTTCTATACTCTCTTCCGCACTAATTTCCGAAAAAATTTCACTATCGGTTTCAGTATCTTGATCCACTGTATCATTATTATTTACTTCTGAAAAATTTTCACTGACGGTTTCAGTACCTTGATCCACTGTATCATTATTATTTACTTCTGAAATTATTCTATTGTCAACGGAGCCCACATTTTGAACGCGATCAATTTTCTTCGCAATTATGCACGAGTCTGTAATAGGATCAGACGTAGGTATCAGTAGTTGAAAATGACCACTTGAATTTTCAGTTCCAGTAAATAAAAGCCAAATTGTTGAAGCATCTTCGCGCCATTGATAAGTTTCAAAATAATAATTACTGTTAAACAACCTAACAAGATTAACATTAATGTGAGCTAATTCTGAAAGTGCGCGGCATTCAAGATAAGTGCCAAATTCTCCGGATTTTATTAATTTTGTTTTGTATGCAGCACTCGATGTAATATTAAAATTATGCTGAGCCCAAAAACTGTATTGGGGCCAAATTACATCGGACGTTATGTAATTAACAATATCTTGACGGAGTTGGAGAATGTTTGTTATATTTAAACCATAACCGATTGAAGAAAATAAACAATCACCATTTCCACCTGTTTCTTTCACATAAAATTTGTTGTCAATGTCAGACAGATAAAGCATTGTCCAATCACTTGGCGCTCGCGCACTCATTTTGCAAAAATTAATTGACAAATTTAAACAACTACACGATTTGAATTACTCGCTTTATTTAAAAAATTACTCTCTCCAAAGTTCTTTCTGTGTCGAGATGCAACGAGATGCAACAGAAAACTGAGCTAGAAAACCGAAATCGTTGAAAAGATCCTACTTTGCAGAAACAGATAGGTAATTAAAAAGGCATTTGAGGTAATCGTTTAGGAAAAGGTACCAAAATGTTTACACTGCAAACTTGCAGCAAGTATGATGTACTTAAAGATATTTATTTCGTGTTTATAAGGAAACAGCCATAAACGTTATTGAATCTATTGAATCTTAAGTGGAAAATAATTTGCTTGGGATATAATATACCTCCATTAAGAATCGATTTAAGATTCTACCGCAAATTTCACCTAATTACTGCTTTTAAAATGCAATATTAATATTTACGTATTACATTACCGTCGGCAATTGTCGGTAAGGCGTCAACCGAGCACCATCCAAAACATACATGTGTTCAAACTAAGCTAACTCAGCCAATAATTAAGATAGAGACTTGAAACAAAATTTATTGGAAAGTTTATGAAATTCCGAGTAATATGATATATCAATAAATATTTTTTAACCATTTGAACACATTGTAGCACTTGTTGAGTACGAACCAAATTTTTGAAATTTTCCGCGATTTGGTCTATTTAATTGCGCCTTTGCATAATCTACAAAAGTTTTAAGAAAATTTTAAATCTTACATAGAGTTCATTGTTGAATCCTAATCTTTAATTTAAGTCCAAGAAACTTCAAATATCTTAACGGGTTCTTGAGATATCATCGAAAGTGTCCGACTATGTTTTGTGTAAAAACCACGTAAATACCCCAAAAAGTACTGAATTTCATGGTTTTTACACAAAACATGGTTGATGATATCTCAAGAACCCGTTAAGATATTTTAAGTTTCTTGGACTTAAATTAAATATTAGGATTCAACAATGAACTCTATGTAAGATTTAAAATTTTCCTAAAACTTTTGTAGATTATGCAAAGGCGCCTTTAAATAGACCAAATCGCGGAAAATTTCAAAAATTTGGTTCGTACTCAACAAGTGCTACAATGTGTCCAAATGGTTAAAAAATATTTATTGGTATATCTTATTACTCGGAAATTCATAAGCTTTCCAATAAATTTTGTTTCAAGTCTCTATCTTAATTATTGGCTGAGTTAGCTTAGTTTGAACACATGTATGTTTTGGATGGTGTTCGGTTGACGCCGTACCGACAATTGACGACGGTACTGTATATAAAATTTTTAATATTGTTATGATTCTATAGCTATATGCTTGTTGCCATAAAAATATTAAAAATAAATTTTGTTAATTCAAGTATAATATTAAAATTTAGAAAAGATTTCCTTCTCAAGTTAACATAATTAAAATTCTGTAAATATTTGAACCATTTTTTTAAATCTAACTTAAAAAAAATTTTTTATTAAAAAAAGTTTAGTTAAAAGTATTTAAATTAAATTTTAAAGCAGTTCAAATAAATACTGCATGACCTTTTTTTAAAATCCAGTTAATTGTGAAAAAGTTTTTAAAAAAACTGTAGACCCTTAAATAAATTATAAAAAAATTCTTGTTTCATTAAGTGAAAAATTAAAAAAAAATTAATTTTAAAAATTAAAAAAAAAATTAATTTAAAAATTATAAAATTTTTATTAGCTTAAAAATTATAATATTTTTATTAAGTTAAAAATTTTTAAATTTTTATTAATCCTAAAATTATAAAAATTGTTTTTAATTAAAAAATTTTAAATGTTATTTTAATTTAAAGATTTTTAATGTAAAGACGCGAGGAACTCTTAAAAATTGCCAAATGCTTCGAAAATACAATAAAATTTTCCTACGCCTTTGGCAACGCCAACCTCTTTTTTTTGGTACATTTTTCCAGGCTTCTGAAAACAGGTCATAAACGAAACAGTTGAACCTGAGTTTTTGGAGGGTATCAGTTACTCCTTCCTATTGATCAATTTATAAAAAAATTTTGAAGTAAAAAATGGTAAATAAAACGGAATTTTACATTTGTAAAATAAAAATTTTTTAGATTCAGAATTAAGAATTTTTTTCTGATATACTCAATTTTATTAGAAGTTTTTAACGTAATTTGGAGCTGAGATTGCAATTATCCATACAATCGGTTGTGTAGGTAATTGTTTATCTGTTTTTTAAAAACAAATTGCACATATTTTTAAATTAATTATTAGCGCATCTCAGTGATTTTTTTCAAATTTTTTCTATAATTTTTTCTATGAAATTTGATGAGTGAAAGTTGACCCATAAGCAAATCACTCAAAATACCCTGTTTTTCTACATATTTGCACTTGTAACTTTTTTAAAAATTTTTTTACTAAGGTGTCATGAATGAGAAGTTTATGTAGTATTAAATTATCTATCCAATAATCTTTGTCTGGTTTTATAGCGATTTTTTTTCAACGTTTTATCCCTGTTTTTTACGAAGGGCAAGGATTTTTGAAACGCATAGTAGACGGGGACAAAATCAACTCGTCGTCGGACACACTACAGTATCATTCTCACACTCTAACGTCCCCCTGCAGGGCAGAGCGCCTACGCTGGCTTCGTTACTTCGATAAACAGGAAGCGAATCATACTACACATCCTTTTTCGGGGCAGTTGTCATCACCTACTACATTTATCAAAGCAGCAGGATTAGTATTGTGCCGAAACACAATGAAAGTGCAAAACGTATAAAGTAAACAATATATTTTTAAGGAATAAGATAGAAAAAGATAGAGGATATTAATGTTCCTTTGTATCTCGTTGCGTAAAAATTTACCATTAAACTTTTACATCTTATTGTCACACTATTACCTCAATAAAAAAAGTTTTGGGCATTTGCCAAATTGATCTCTATGAAGCAATGATACCTGTCAGGTCTTGAGAATAGTAAACTGGTTCATTCTAAAACAAAAAGTTATAGTTCTTGCTGCACAACAGTCTACCAAAGAACATTTCGGAGTAGTCTGGGGGTTAAAAATGTGAAAATCTGACTACAGGTTCGTAATTAGCTACGTAAAAAACCCCTAGATACCAAGTTTGAAGTAAATTTATTAATTTTTAAAATTTTCATCTGCCATTTTGGATCCGCCATTTGGTACAACTGTGGAAGAATTTCAATATATATATTCACATTACACAGGTATTTTTGTGTGCTGAACACGATCCCGGTTTCCAAAATTGCATATCACGTAAGTATTTTTATTAAAAAGGGGGTAAAGTCTCTAAAACCAGTGTTTTTGAGGGTTTTTATTATTTATACTACCTTTTGAAGTATTATCTCAAGATTCGAAATCAAAAAACACAAAAATCCTAGCTGCTCGTCCTAGAATTTTTTTCAAAAAATATGATTTTCATTTTAAAAAATTTTAATTTTTGAAGTTAATTGTGTGTGTTTGTATATATGTATATCAGGTACCTTCACATAATCAAATCAAAATTTAAAAACACTTTTGTTTATAATCAGAATATCAGAATCAAAACAATAGTTCATTTAAGTTTTAATTTAGAAATCAGAATCAAAAATTAACTTTTAATTCCGTTTGTTGAACGAAACAAAAATAGAATCTACTTTTGATCCTGTTTTGTCAACGAAACTAAAATAAAATGTACTTTTAATTCTGTTTGTTAAACGAAAGGAAAGTAGAATGTACTTTTGATTTTGTTTGGTGAACGAAACGAAAATCTGTCAGATTACTTCCGAGTTTCTGTTTGAAACAAGTAAATTCAAATTTTTTACTATGAAGAGTAATCTAAAGGATTTTCGTTTCGTTCACCGAACAGTATTAAAAGTACCTTCTATTTTTGTTTCATTTATTAAACGAAATAAAAACTACATTCCACATTCGTTTCGTTCACCAAACGGATTCAAAAGTAGATTCTACTTTCGTTTCCTTTCGTTTCGTATAACGAACTGAATCAAAACTATATTCTACTTTTATTTCATTCACCAAGCGGAATGAAAAATGAATTCTACTTTTGTCTCATTTAACGAGTTGCATAAGACTTAAGCATAAGACTTTTTAAGTAAAAAAATTGTTTATTTAAAAAATACAATAATAAATAATGAAAAAAAACCCACTTTTTTCCTCCTTCTCCAAATAAATTGGTTTAAAGATTAAAATTTTCCTTATTTTTCACGCTTTAATACCGCACAAGAAAAATATTGTATTAGAAAACAGTTAACTCACAATTTATTAAACAATGTTTGTTTCCCTTTTTTGTATTTTATTTACTGTGAAACGTCTGTTATAGTTGCGCGCGACGTTCGGAAATTGTCGCTCTCGTTATTGAGCAGAAGCTAATTACACTTGCGTAGTAAAAAACATATTGTGTGAAAAGTGAGGTTTTTCATCCTTCAAAAATGTTTTTTATGATTTTTTACTGCAAAGTAGATAATTGAAATGACAACATAACCCCACTTTTCGGACAACATGCTTTCTACTACGCTAATGTAATGAGCTGCTGCTATTAGCGAGAGAATTTGACCGTGATATCATTTTTCAAACGTAACGTTTCTTTTTAAATCTACAATAGTAAAATACAATAAACTGTTTCTCATCTTATAATATAGTAGATTCACTTTTCATAAATTTCGAGTATGTAAATCATTATATTGTATCATGAAAATATAAGTATCATTATTGTAACAGTGTTTCCTCTGATTTATTTCTACACCTTGCATCTAAACAGAGTTCGTCCTTTTCCA